CCATCAACCGTTTCATGGCATTGTAAATTATATAGCACATATTCTTATTGTGCATCTATTAGTACAGATTGTATATTATATTACTCATAAAAATAAAAATAAAAAATATAGTTATCTTAGGAACGCAAATAGTATGCGGCCATATTTGTCATAATTTTGTCGTTTGCGCATTATTAACCCTATGGTAAACATTTTAATTGGTTGTTTTTGCATTATTATGTCTTAGTAATTAAACAATAGGCAGTTAGTATATTAGTTGTAGTAGATACTGACGTACTTTGACATTAGCACGTATTACACAACCAATAACATAATACTAGTAGTGAGTAAGTACTAGGTACCTATAACTCAGGTTTAAAAATATTTATATTTAAAATTAGAAAATCGAGAAACTTTTTTTATGAATTAACCAATTATACCAATTAACGAATCTAGTCAGTCTAAGATAATTAGTTGGATATTATTTTAATAATTTTGTAATTTTGAAGTTAATGTACCAATAATGATCAATTATTTAATTTAGACAAACAATCTAATCACATTTTATTTATATTTTGTTCATACCTAACAGTATTAGTTCGTAATAATATCTATACGTGAACGTCTTAAGCCAATATTTGTTATAAAGGGATGTCGAGTAACCAATTTACCTATCGATATTACAAGAGTTTTCTGTATGAACCAAAATTGATACACACCGTAAGGCGTAAGTACGAATAAATAAACTATTTTCCTTCTCGAGGATTTAATATATTTGTAGTAAAGCAAAGGTGCTGTGACAGAAGGGGATGGAGAGATACGATAAGTAATAATGGAAATTATTTTTAATATTATACTAACAATTATTATAAATTATAATAATGAAAATAAATAAAAGTCCCATACAGAAAAAAAAATTGAACCAAAATTAACGCCTGTACTTTTCCATTGCGAATTTCACAGATATTTCATCACTGCAGTTGATGTCAACACTAATTGGTTAATGTGTTATAAATTCGACTACCTATAGCATTATAGTATTTAAAGTGTTTAAAGCAATTAAGTAAACGGACACGCCGAAAGCTAAGCATTAGTGCGTAAAGTGAAATTTTCCCATGAGACACGAGTGAAGACATCACCACCTTGAGCATTATAATATACCGTCATTGGAAAAATTATTCACAAAATATAATTATTTATTAAGAAATCAACATTCAAAATTTCAAAATACTGACGTATACGTTTATTATTGACGTCATATTTTATAATTTATAAAAATTCTGTAGGCCGATGATTTTTCCAGTTTTTAGATTCTAATCGTAGCCGAACGGTTTTACTGTCATATGGTGTGTGTGTGTGTGTGTGAGGTGTCGTGACCTCCTGTAATACCGTACCTGAATAGCCACTGAATATACCTATAATAAGTAATCAAATCAAAGTGTCACTAATTCTTCCATCAGTGTTTTTTTTCCATGCTATGTATGTAATTTATCAAATATTCTCATTATCTAGGTACTCATTTTTCGAATTAACGGTTTATCTCAATATATAAATTTAAAAAAAAATATTAAAATATTATGTGTGTGGATTTGTTCGTTTAACGTAACTCCAGGAATAGTAAAACTTGTTTATATTCAACTTTATAGGTTGAACGTTTCTAGTAGAAAATTGCATCTAGTTGATATTTTTATTCCCAGTACTTTTCAAGGCAATCAGGAAAAACAAATAAAAAATATAGAGAAACGGGATTTAAACACCAGTTCTTGAGGAAATAGGTTATGATTTTTTTGTACCTAAAGTGAATTTTTAGGTTAACTAACATCAGACTTGAAATGTTCACCAAATTATTTCTGAATCCAAAAGCTAAAAAATTAAATACAAGTGGTTCCTCGTAAGTTTTTCATACAGAAATTAAAATAAAGATAGTCACGAAGACAGTTTATTTTTTTAATTTTAAGTAAAAATGATGACAAAATAGTTATTTTAAACGATACATTTTTTTATAATATTTATATTACTTATATATACTATTTTTATTTAATTACTTATACAAAATTCGATAAAATCATGAAAATATGCAAATTATTTTGTAGTTTAAAATGCATTCAATTTTTAATTTTAATACTAATTTAAGTCTTGAATTTCAAGATTCTTCATAAGCTTTTTTTTTACTGACGAGTCCAAAAAAAATGTTAAGCATACAACCATATATACATTTTTAATGAGTGATTGAACTTCAAATGTAGTTGACATTGGATTTATATTGTATATTAAGTATATTTTTTTTTACATATACGTATTTATTAATATTTTAATTAAGAAGATATCAGCTCACTGGTTGTTTTCTCTCTTCCATAGTTCCTCCTCCAGTCCTCGATACCAAGATAAAAAAAAATAAAAAAAAAATGGTTGTTTTCTCTCTCTAGCTCACGGGCAACATAGACAAAACGCATTAACGCTAAATTATTATTTTTATGTTTTGGAGTAATCTTAGAGTAGTAAAATCACCCATTATAAAAATTATAGAGTATAGACAATAATATTTTTGAGGGTACCTAGACGTATCGATTTATCTAAATATTGTCTCAAAACAATTTAAATTTTTTTAGAAAATGTTTGAATTATAAATATATATTAATATAAAGTAACCATTAATTGTAAATATCTTAGATCACCTCTAGCTAATTTTTACATTTTATTCGTTTATATGGTAATAAACAAAGTGTTACGCACATTCGGTTAGAAAATAAAAATATCTATTCAAAACCCAAAACCATATTATTTTATGTTAATATAAAAAAAAACCTGTGGCAGACCGCATATGACGTCATTGGACAAAAATGTCGTTCTACAATAAATTACTTAAATTATCATTTTCTATACACAATAAGATAATTTTAAAAATATTTATACAAATTCTAAGCTAAATATTATGTATTTATCCAACGCCGTTTCACCGGTGATATTTATTTAGATTTTTCGATGTTTTTGTTGAAAATTAGTCTAACACTTTAACATATCTTAGTATAATAATAGAACTATAAATAACAGTTACTAATAGTTGGTACTTAACATAAATTAACTATAAAATATCCTAGAAAGGAATAGAGGCTCACTGTCTCCACATAGAATTCGTTTTTCGGTATAATGATTTATCATTCAATTCAAATTTAAAACATCCATTACGCGGTGACCTATTCAATGACGAAGTACACTCAAAACCTAATACAACAGTGGGACTTATCCGTTTTTACTTTATTTTTTTTAGAATTCATAATCGGTTGACCACATCACACGTTTGGCATAATAATGTTTGATTTGTGCTGGCTCAATCAATATGTACCTTTTGTTAGTGATTACCATTGTAACATATATATATATACAATATTAGCACAGTGTGCGAGAGGTGCATAACGAGTGAAATATTATATTATGTAATAAGGATTTCCTCGTTTGGACTAGGTACCATTTCAAATACATTATAAAGTATTTGCAATCCGGCATTCGAGCGTTCAGGTTTCTTCAATATTTTTAATCGTCATTATCGACTTCCACTTTCCACTATCTGCTATCGCCTATTATTATCACGAACCACCGACACTATAACGATTATTGCACATTCATAGACTCGTACTCGTAATCGTATAATAATATAATATAGATATTATAGTCGTATGTATAATATGTTTCTATATTGTATAATGTATAAGCTCGATGACGCATGCGCATACACAAGCACACATACACACACATATTATATATATACTTGATATGTAATTTTGCAAATTGTTCTCCTCGAGGCTTACACCGGTTTTTCACTTCCCCGTCCGTTGTCGCTTGTTGCAGTCGCTGTACATTATAATTCGTTTTTATGTACAATACGAATACGAAATGAGATCGTCGAGGTTGTTGTTGTTGTTGTTTAGATATTTATCATTTAATACGTAGAAAATTACATCTAGTATAAAACATGTACCTATAAAGAATATTACGGCTTAGCGAGGTTGAGAATTTGAGATTAATCCACTGGCTTTGTGCCAACGTTGACCTTGGCCGCCGCGGAAAAACACAGCGTCGGATATCTTTTGCTACCCATCCCACCAAGTCCTCCCCCCCTGCCGGTGGCTAGTCCCTATTACCGCTTTGCGAATCGGTCGTCCGCCCGCCACGCCACCGCCGACCGGCCCGGCAAATAATACTTTACCTGATCGCACATCAGAACCGACATTAGCTTTCAGTAGCGGTAGTGCAGCAACAGCGATCGAAACAGTTTTCCTGGAGAGAAGTTTCCTGAACACATATTATAGTCTCTCCGCTTCAAGTCGACTACAGAGTTTTTCTTACACACACCATGTAAGTTTTTCCCGACTACAATTTATTATACGGCCCCAAGTGTTTCGAGTGTAAGCTCGTCGTGACAAACCGAGACATTTTACCTACTATATTATATTAGAGATTTCATTTCCGTGTTACGATTTGAAGGAAATTTAAAATTTTTGAAAACTTACAAAAATCATATGCCAATATATCAAATACTTATTATAATATCTGTTATTCGATTTAAATTGTAATACAACACAAAATATTATAGGTTCCGTGTTAATAAATCTGGATACACTTTGTATCTATAAATTGAAGTTTATTCTTAAATCGTTTTTTAACTGTCATAAAAACAAAATTTTGTTTCATTTATTTCTTCTCTAAACTTTTTAAGAAGTAGTTACAAAGAATAATAAATTGTATTATAATATTTAATTATTATTAATAAATATTTACTTTAAATGCATTTTAATTATAACCACTATTATATCGAAAACATTTTGTAGATATAAGTACTTAACATTAAGTTTCTGGATATTTAAATATTTACTTCAATTTTTTTTTTTTTTTTTTTAACTAGATGTGTACCTACTTCAACATTTATGCAATAAAAGTTAATAATTATACAAATGTAATATTTTACGATTTTTTTGTTTTATTGTTTTATTTAGTATCCATACAAAGTTACTACTTTTTCAAAAATGTCTCATATCAATAATTTCAAGTCGATGTTGACAATTGCTGTGGTTGTCGGTGTAGCGTTTGCCGCTCCCAATAAAGACAAATCTGAACTGAGTAACGTGAGTACCCCTAATGTTTTAATCATATTCGTAGGTTATATATTATTTTTTCACTTAATATAATATTTATACTCTTGTTTTGATCTCTTTCGACACGGACGTTTATTTAAAGGATACACTATACAAAATAATAAAAAATAAAAACTGGGATTAGACTTTTTTTTTAAAATGACGTTAGAGCACCATTTTTATTTTCTCTCTGGCCCATCCTCAACATCACAAATTTTAAGTTCACAATAATGATTATAATCATATTAATTTGTAAATTAAAGTGAAATAACCTCTTATAAAATTTAAAGTTAAGATTATTATTTAGGGCGTCTCATAGCTGTTTTAATAATTTTAATTAAGAGTATTTAATATGTACCTACTAATAATTTACAATTTTAAAATACCCATAACTCGCTTTAAAATTAAAGTATAATAAAACGCCTATGAGATGCCCTAGATAATAATCTTACCTTCAAATTTTATAAGAGGTCATTTCACTCGTAATTTTAGAAATTAATATGATTACTTATAATCATTATTATAAACGTAAAATTTTCTGTGTTGGGCGTGGGTCAGAGAGAGAAAATAAATACTTCTCTTAATAGCTTATCAGTAACAACTTTTATAGTTTTTGAGATTATATCTAAGGTAAGTTTTTAATTCCCTCTTTGGATATACATAAATAATATGTGAGGTTTAATCAGTAGGCTAAAGTGCACACAACACATGCCAAGTCTGCAGGTGTTCCAGAGTAATGTTGCAACATAAATACACCACATTCATTTTTTTGTATGCATTTTAATATAAGTATTCATATATTATCTGTATACCTAGTCAACTTAACACACTTCACTTTCCCAAATAATTATAACAAAATCAGCAATGTCCTGCAATCAAGAGTTTATTTTTCCCAATTATTAGTTTATAATATTAGTTATTTTAATCGATATTATTGTAAACCTCGAATTGGTATGACTTTGTTTCAAAAAATTTTGTTAGTGTAAACCTCGATAAGTAGAATACGGCCCTCTATGGTCTCCTAAACATTTACAGTGACTCTGTAGTATGCACTACAGTTGTACGATAACATCTAGCCATAGATACTACAGTTTATAAAATATTGTTACTATAAAGTTACCATACGCGTGTAGTGTGTATATTAATACTATAACGGGTGTGATGAAAATTGTAAATGTATGAATATGAGGGCTTGGGCACGTAATTTGAACGTAACGGCTGGTGGTCGAGTTTAATATTAAAAATCACGATAAATGAAAACTGCTATATCGACACCACTATTGACACATATATCGCGATATACACGTATTTTATATTTAACGTATATGACATAATATATACACCTATGAACGTATATACGTGATGTGTTTCGTGTACTATTATCCATGTAGTCGGTACATACTTAAATAATTTTTTTTCCTGTGAAGAGAAAAAAATTTTCATTTTTTATTCAAGCAGTTTCAAAATATAAATTTTTTAATAATTTAACCAATGCAGAAAAACTAATCTTACCACCATAATAATATAATACGACGCAGTTAAGCGTAACTAAAAGATTTCCTGGATTTTCAAATTATATTATTTTTATATCGTACCTGTTTTATATAAATGTAAAAAATTTACATTTAATACTTCTTATGAATATTAAATGTGGCTACATGATGGTGAGGTGGTCCAGAAATTCCTCCTGGTTACATCACCGATACAACGGCCTTGCGGACTACACGTAGACACATAGATCACCCCGCTGACTCGTGCACAAGGACGTTGACTGATGTACATTATATTATATATTATTATAGATAGGTATACGAAATATTTACCAATGGACGCTCGTCGTTCCGGTAGTCGATCGCGCCAATTACGCTTATTAGTCAACGAAAATATTATTACATTTATACAAACATAATTTTATGTTATTAAATCGTTCGTACGCGTATCACGAAATGTACACGAATTTTACACACGTACATTGTATTTATGACGATTTCTTAATCAAGGCTCACATGTTATAGTTATTGTAATTTTATAGTCACGTCGTTATGGCAGTCTTCATTATTATTACACTTCGTCGTACTCAAGTTAATCCACTAGGTTTATACTCATTACATAATTATAAATATACACGCTCACATTCAACAACACTAGATGTTTCTAAATTGCTTTGTATGGTTTTTCTCACACAATTCTCACATTCGACCGATTGACATATTGTAGTGTTGAGAAATTTGCGTTCGCCTAACCAATCATTAATTTTACCTACCGATACACGCTGCATAATGACTACAATAATAATAAATAGTTTATAAATATAATTAGTTAGTAGGATGTAACATTGAGGCTGTTGACGTGAACCTTGTTTCTACATAATTAATAATAATATGTATTATGTATTGGGTGTTATTAGAATCTCAACGGTCGTTAAAGTCTCTCGCGTTTCTTATATTCACGGTCACACCCACTCACCACATTTCTTTTAAGGTGGAGGGGGTCTTAAAATAGATGACACAGTAATTTGTCTTCGACTTTTAAGTACCAAACACTGTCGGTTTTATTTATGGATGTACTTTGTACAATGTACATGTAAAGGGATTTGACAAGATTAGAGAATAATATATATTTATATCAATTAAAGAATCTATTAATTATTATTTTTTTTAATACCATAAGGTTTAATATAATACTTATTATATATATATTAATTAAAATATTTTAATTTACAGGAAATTGCTCAATCCGGATCGTTCATTACCAAGAACGGTGACTCTGTGTCTGCATCGTTTGGAGGTTTCCACGCAGCTGCTTCTCTGGCTGACGATGGTAGTGCTATGGCTTCCGCCGGCGGCAACGGCTTTGGTGCCAGTAGCGGGTACGGCGAGGGGGGTGCCGGAGCCGGAGCCGGATTCGTGTCTTCCGGAACGCCATTGAAACCTGCTACCGGAGGATACGGTAACAGTGGAAAACCTGAAGGGCCATACTACCCAGGAGGAGCTGGAGCTGGAGCTGGAATCGGCGGAAACGGTAGCGGTGGTTTATTCGACAGGATTTTCGCCGTGAGTTTACCTATATATTGTACAAGATCAGGTGATAGCAGGATTTTTTTTAAGAGGGTGTTTTAATATTAAATTTAAATATAATATGAGGGGAGCTTTCCGCATTCTCCATTGTAGTCATCAATCATTATATTAATAATATCAAATGCAAATATGAAATAGAACCAAATTACCAATATATTTTGTAGAAATCTGAATCATATAGTACATATATTTTACATATATTTTTGCAAAAGTGCGATCGATGTAGATGTCTAAACTCCCAAAATACCACACTGGCTAAGTTACCTACTATGTACGAAACCATGATTCAAAATACGTCATTAAAATTTAGCTGCACGTATCTATACGATTACAGCGTAACGCAGTTAACGAGCTCATTAAATATTGATTATGGGTATCTATATGCGAAAACGGAAACATTTTTTATGTACATAATATTTATATGCATCACATTACAACAGTACGCGCGCGTGTACCTGTATAATATCTAATATATTATTACGCTAAAGAAATCGCTTATTCAATTGTTTATTTTTTAATGTTTAGATACCCATCAATGTATTACAGTCCGTCAATACGTACTTAAACCAGAAACAAATGCATCAAGGACAACCAGGTATACATTTACAATAATAAAAGTCATAAATTAATAATGTTTTGTACATTACGCTCGCGTGTGTATCATTGTAATTGATTGATAGGATATACTGTAATATTATTATACATAAAATAATAATGGTTATTTGTTTCTTTTTCGATGTTACAGGAGTCACGGTTCACGGTCACCACCAGAACAACGGTGTTGCCTCCGCCTCAGCATCTTCTGTAGCTGGCAGTGCCACGTACGGCAACTCTGACAAAGCTCCATTAGCGTCTGTCAGTTCCGACTACGGACACGAATCTGCTGGAGCCTCCGGAAACGGAAAAGCCGGTGCTTCAATGATGGTACAGACAAAAACAAATTACGATGAAATATTCAACGTACGTGTTGTGTGTGACGGTGGTGATGTAGTAGTACACACACACACACGCCTAACTTGGTTCTAACAATCTAATACAATAATAATAACTAAACTCGACTTGGTTTATAAGTTTATAAAGTTTATAAAGTTAATATAATAAATACTGTAAACGTATAATACATTAATATGCATACGGTGATGGTGATGGAATCAATTGGTTACTGAAATTGTAATATCATCATCATTCTCATACATCATATTCTCATATCAATATATCACAAATATTATATATTAATAATATGCTCATTGTCGTTGTTATCGTTATTATTATCTTTAAGAAATATCTACCGCTGAGACGAATTTCACATTGAATGTTTTTGTTAATATTTTTAGATCCCGATCACAGCATTGAGGTCCGTCCAAAACCTGTTGAACGGTTAACTCGTTGCAGTTACTGAATCATGATGGTGGTGGTTGAAATTATGTTGAAAAACTATGTCATATAATATAACAGCGGTGTCCACTGAAGTAGGCGCTCAACAATGCAACCACACATACAACACACACCCACATTTAGTCTTCATCGTTAGAACATTATAATTTGTAATATCATTATAAAGGTGTGTAACGTTTAGTCTATATGTAGCTTTGTACCGTGTGTACGTACTATTTTTATATTTATTATTATTATTATATTTTTTTTTGGTATGTAAGTATTTGTGTATATGATGTATGTGTATACTATGTGGAGTGTATTTTTTTGTAACGTCAGGCTCCTGCGGAACACATTACCAGACGTGTCTTGTGTTAAATAAACCACTCCATATAAAATATATACATATATTTCTAAATTATATAACATACCATTGTAATAGTATAAATAGTAATATTTTTCTTTTATTCATACTACAACATTGATTATTCATTATGTATGCGTGTGAGGTACTGTGAAATATTACTAATGTAATTTAATAATAGTAATACGTACGCGTGTATATTACATAGTATGTACCTACCGCTGGCTAACTTTTGTATTCAATTTTTTTTTATTATTTTTTTTTTATTTATACGTATTTTTTAAATAATCATTGAATAAAAATATGGTTTTAATCTATATGATTGTTATAATATTATGATGCTATCATTATAATAGTAGACCCTAATAAATTACGCCTCACGCCAAAATGCCATCTGGCGCCTTTTTCACACAACCCTTTGTACCATGATGCTCGGAAAATAACACATAAATACGAAACAGTTATATATTATGCTCAACTTGTATATTATTTCTTATCGTCTAATAAAAATAAAATAACATATTATGACGAAATATAATGTTATAAGCAAATATAAATATGTACATATTAATAATAAAAATAAAGAATTCGGAAATGGTCTCAAATTAATAATAAATGGAAATGGAGTGCACAATAGAACATAGGTAAATAATTTAAATTTGTTAACGATTACCTAACACTTTTCTCTATTTTCTCTCGGCAAAATCAATTTCTGCTGCTTTTCGTTTTCTATAGATAAAATCGATAATGACTATAAGCCACAGTAGATCGTTATTGTTATTGTTTCTTCTTTTTTTGAAAAAACTTAAAAAAAGCATTAGCACTTTCAAATTCTAATTTACCCTTTTTTTAGGTTTTTATAAGCGTTTAAAGTTTAAAGTTCTACAAAATTATTAATAATAAAATCATATAAAAATTTACAAATTATTTTGTAGTTAAAAATATTATGACGGAGTGAGTGAAATATTTTAGATTCTGAGTAAAACGAAGAATGTTTTGATTTTAGAATGATGTGGGTTTTTTTTTACTCTTTATTTTTATTTTTGTGTCCGTGTACACGATAAGTAGTCGAAATAATTCTTCGATTTTCAACTTCAGTATCTTGTTCGATGGGAAAGTGAATCTAGTTGGTACGTTCGGGAGGTCAAATTTTAAAATTCCCAATAGTTTTCACAAGCACTGAGAAAAACAACATAAAAATGAAAGAGGGTCAAAATTTAAAATTCAAAGTAATTTTCAAAAGCGCCAAGAAAAACAAAAGAAATATTAAGAAAAAACGGGAATTTTTACGCAAAATCGATTTTTCACAAAATTGAATTTGATTTTTGGTGTTACTTTAATACAAATGACCTAAATGCGCCACTGACTGTGAGTTGTGACACTCATAGCAGACTGTCAATAACGAGTTGACGCAGGCACGCGGGCGTGCGTGCCAGTCTTGTATATTTATTTATATTATTAAATAATAATGTAACGCTAATAATAGCTATTTGGTAGTTATCAGTAATATTTATTTATAACTATTATTACGACTAAACAAATAAAACCAATCGAATCTACGAATGGAAAAAAAACTGTCAGACCCTTTTTCTTAGAAATAATATTAATTTATTTTATAAGGAGCCCTTTAAAATGTGAAGACATGTTGTATGTTTAAATACAGTTACTAAATAAATGGTAATCTTATTTAATTTTAAAATATGAACATTGGACATGAAGTCTGGGGGTCCAAACTAGCCGGAGGCCTAGTCCGCGATCCGACCCTGGCTATATCAACTGTACCGTCTGTACTATTTATAATCAATGATTACCATACGTACTACGTACAATACTACAATGTCATGTATAATTAACGTAAACGCAAAAGTATTTGTAGTATTTTATTTTGTAAAGTATTCATTATTATTTATAATTATAAACCAATAAAATAAACTATTTTCTAATTTGTATATAGTTTGATATTATATAGTTGTTTGATAAATAACATTTCAAACATAAAATACGGTATTGAGACTGGGGGCCCCATAATTAGGTACGGACAGGGGCCCACCGGGAAAATCCCGATTTCCCTATAGGCCTATCCGCCCCTGCGTATAACGCATTATAAGTACCTAATGGATATTGTGATATGATTAATTTGGAATTTATTATAGGTACCTATTTTAGGTAATTTTTTTTTAATACGATAGATAAGTATAATATGTCTTACACCTAGACTGATATACCGTATCCGCTCAGAATCGTTTTTCTCATACAGTGATATTATGGCATTGAATTAAAATTTAATACTATCCATTATACAGTGACCCACTTGTAAAATACTGTACAGAAGAGCACCTTTTTATTTCTGAATCTAAAAGCTCCAAAATTAAAAAAGTTTAAAAATGAGTCTTGGGGCCTATTCCACCAACACACTTTGCAACTTTTTACTTTTCAAACTTTGCTAAGTGCGAAATCTTTTCATTCCACATAAAAAATAAAAATAAAATAGGTAATAGACTTTGCAAATGATGGTAACATTATGATAATTGAGTTACCACTTTTCATTTTGTTATCATATTGTTAAACAGCTGTTATCACTTATCATTCTTAGTCGGCTTAAAAGTTAATAACAAAAACTTCTGTAGTCTGTGTTTCTTTTCTTATAAGTTATAAGTTTCAATTAATTGTCAGTGAATAATATATTTTGTAAAATGATGAAAATTAAAACCCAAAATAAACTTACGCTATTGGATGCTATACGGCAAAACAAAAGTGTATTGTTTGGTAATTTTAAAACAACATCAAATGATGAAAAAGTGGAATCTTGGAAAAGTGTCCATAAAATAGCCCAAGCATTACAACTTGCAACATCAGACCGTTCTTGGCAGTTCACTAGGGACAAGTTGTATGGGCTGTGGAAATGTCGCACTTTAGTAAGTACCTACCTCTAGTTTGTAATTATATATTTATTAGGATTAGTTAAGTTAAAAATATTTAATTGCCCTTGATTATATTATATATGTTAATGGTTTATTCACTTTATTCTGTAGGAAAAGAGGGATAATAAGAAGGGAGAATTCACTGGCAAAGCGGGAGGAAAAAAAGCCAGTATGATGATGTTGATCTAGCCATACTAGATATTTTAGATGAAGATTCGGCAGTAGTGCAAGGTATTGGTTGCCTGGATCATCAGCATTTTCTGAAAGTAATTTTGTATTAGTTTTGTAGTTTAAGTAGTTATATTTATGCTTGTTGTTTTTATGATAAATAGTGAAATGTAATGTTGTCTAGTTAATTATGGTCTATTAATTATAGTTCTGCAAAATTATTTCCTTTGAAAAATAATAGGTAGGTTATATTAATTACCTTAGGTACCTACTAGCCTAGTAGTACTAGGTAACTTAGGTACCTAGTTAACTTTGTATTATGACCTATATACTTGCAAATAGTAAATAAATACATGAAATTTTCAGTGGTTGTTTATATTTGCATTTTCTATACAAGATAACTTTTGCAAAATATTTTGAAGGCTCCTAGTATATTGTTTCAAAGGCAGATGAAAAATATTAAAAATCCTTAGTCACAATTTTCTTTTATAAGCATTTAAAATTCAAAAACTGACAAAATACGGAAAAATAAAGAAAATTAAAAAATTATTTTGAGTTAAGAATTCGTAAAAATTTTTCTTTTTAAATCTAAGATTTTAAACTGCAATACAAGATTAATTATAAGATTATCAACCTTTATCAAAAAAAAATATCTACCAGAAAGTCAAATTAAATTTTTATGAGCGTTTGAAATACTAATTTTTCCAACATTGGATATTCACTCGATTTCTCATGTAGCAATTTCCATATTTTGTTGTACTTCAAAAACGAAAAACTGTAGATAGGTACATGAAAATTTCACTGAATGTTTATATTAGCATTTCCTATACAGCATACAATTTTGAAAATATTTTGACTCTTTTTGAGCTGTTTACGGACATTTTCAGTTTTCAATTTTGTTATTTTTTTTTTTATAAATATCAATAAAGTTTTATCTGTTGGGCCAAAAAGTGTAAAAATTTAATACACGGCTAGGGATATATTGTATTGCAACTATATTGTAACAATATCAGTTGAAAAATATTAAAAAAATATAGGCACATTTTTTTTTATAAGCATTTTAAGATCGAATTTTGACAAAATTGAATTATTTTGTAGTTAAAAATGATGCAAGATTCCTTATAAGATTATCTACCTTTATCAACAAATAAATGTGTATAAGGAAGTCAAATTAAATTTTTATAAGCGTTTGAAATTCAAATTTTTACAATATTCACTCGATTTCTCATGTAGCGATTTCCTTATTTTGTTGTACTTCAAAAACGAAAAACTGTAGATAGGTACATGAACATTTCCTATACACCATGCAACTTTGAAAATATTTTGACTCTTTTTGAGCTGTTAAGGGACATTTTCAGTTTTCAATTATTTTAGTTTTTTTTCTATAAATATCAATAAAGTTTTATCGAATGGGCCAAAAAGTGTAAAAATGTAATACAAGGGTCCTGATATACTGTTACAATATCAGTTGAAAAATATTAAAAATACATATTCACAATTTTTTTTTATAAGCATTTAAACATCAAATTTTGACAAAATTAATCAAATTTAAAAT